TTGAATCACTTCTGCCAACAGAACCAGCCCTCTTATTCCCATCTGAAGATTAGTCCATCTTTGTCAGCTAAGCCACCCTCCCCAGTAAAACTATTATTTCCTCCAACCCCATCTGATGAGATTAATCCAGCTAAAGAGCCTTCATCTGAGATATCACTTGGGACGGCATCTGAGTCATTGCCTGGGGCATCGCCTGGAGTAGATGCCTTAGGAGGCATTACTGACTGTTCCCAGGACACACTGCCACCACCTATTTTTGCTTCTGGATCTTCAACTAGACTTAAGTCCCAGTGAGCCCTAAAAGGTAAAGTACAAAGTGTGACCCAGGAGGAGGTATTTTACACTCCCAAAGAACTGCTTGACTTTTCTAATTATGTACAAACAGAAACCTGGGGAATATGTGTGGGAATGGCTATTAAAGGTGTGGGATCATGGTGCAAGGAACATGAAGGTGGATCAATCTGAGTTTATTGACATGGGCCCACGAAGCACAAATTCTTCCATGTTTCAGCTTGAGAGGTTAGGAAAGGATCTAATAGTTTATTTGGTTGGTTCGCTAAAGCATGGATTACGCAGTGGCCTGCACTAAATCAAGTTGAAGTAGCAGACCTGCCTTGCTATACTGTAGAAGAAGGTATCCACAGGCTTAGGGAAACTGACAGATTAGAGTGCGTTTATCAGGTTAGACCCACAGACCCACACATGGAGTGCCCAGAGGACACACCTTTTACTACAACGGTGAGGAACAAATTTTTGTGAAGGGAGCCCCAGCATCCTTGAAGACTGCTGTGATTGCTATTTTATAGAAGCCAGATTTGACAGTGGGAGCTGCCCTAACTGAATTAAGACACCTAACTACAATGGGACTGACTGGACCTCATGGTAGTAGGGGCCAAGTGGCGGCACTCAATCGACAAAGACAAGGTGGGTGTGGTTACAGTAATGGACAGAGGAGTCAAAGGAGTAACCAGAATAGTCTGACTTGTATGGACTGATGGCATAGGCTACTTAATCATGGTGTCCCTAGGAGTAAAACAGATGGGAAATCTACTAAATATTTACTTGATCTGTACAAGTAGTAGAATTCTAGGTCAAGTGAACAGCAGTCTTACTTGAATCGCCAGAATAGAGAGTCACGGCCCCTCAATCAATTCCCTCAATCAATTTATCCTTGAGATAAATCTCTCTCTCTCTTTATATATATACGCTTCACTAGTTTTCTTCTCTAGAGAACCTAGCCTAAGACACTACCCAAAGCAATCTATAGATATAATGCAATCCCGATCCAAATTCCAAGAACATTCTTTAATGAGATAGAAAAACTAATCAGCAACTTTATATGGAAAGGAAAGAACCTCTGGGTAAGTAAAGCATTATTGAAAAAGAAGAACAAAGTGGGAGGCTTCACATTTCCCAATCTCAGAACCTACTATACAGCTACAGTAGTCAAAACAGCCTGGTACTGGTACAATGACAGACACATAGACCAATGGAACAGAATTGAGAACACAGAAGTAAATCCATCTACCTATGGACTCCTAAATCTTCTACAAAGGGTTGAAGTTCATTAAATGGGGAAGAGATAGTCTTTTCAACAAATGGTGCTGGCAAAACTGGATATTCATTTGCAGAAAAATGAAACAGGATCCATAGCTCACACCACACACAAAAACCAACTCAAAATGGGTCAAAAATCTAAATGTAAAACGTAAAACTATAAAGATCATGAAAGAAACCGTAGGGACAATGCTAGGCGCCCTAATCTATGGCATAAAGAGATGTCAAGCATAACTAAAAATGCACAAACTCCAGAAGATAAACTAGACAACTGGGACGTCCTAAAAATTAAACACTTAAGCTCATCAAAAGATTTTACCAAGAGACTAAAAAGAGAACCTACAGACTGGGAAAAACTCTTTGGCAACGACATATCTGATAAAGGTTTAACCTCTAAAATACATAGAAAACATCAACAACTCAACAACAAAAAGACAAACAACCCAATCATAAAATGGGCAAAGGACATAAACAGACACTTCACCGAAGAGGACATTCAGGTGGCCAACAAATACAAGAAAAGGTGCTCGTGATCATTAGCCATTAGAGAGATACAAATCAAAACTACGATGAGATACCATCTTCCCCCTGCAAGAATGGCACTGATCAAAAGAACAAAACACAATAAAAGGTGGCAAGGCTGTGGGGAGACTGGAACTCTCAGACACTGCTGGTGGGAATGTAAAATGGTACAACCACTATGGAAAAGGTTATGGCGTGTCATGGATTGAACTGTGTCCCCCCAAAATATCTGTCAACTTGGCTGAGTCACGATTCCCAGTACTGTATGATTGTATAATCTGATGTGATTTCCTTATGTGTTGTAAACTCTATCACTATGATGAGGCTATACGTGATCTCCTTATGTGTTGTAAATTCTATCACTGTGATGAGGTTATACTGATGAGGTTTACAAGATTAGATAGTGTCTTAATGCAATCTCTTTTGAGATATAAAAGACAGAAG